CATTCTTGCCCAACTCCGTTCTCTCTTCAATCCCAATCAGTCTCAGCATCTTCTTGCTCCCTTTTTTTTTTTTTTTTTTTTTTCCTCTCTTTTTTCCCCCCCTCAACCTCAGCGGCAATTTCCACAAGAATCGAAAACATTCTTGGCCAACTCCGCATTCGCCAAAGTGACCCCGATCGCCGGGCGCTTGTCGCAGAACTCCACGAATCCAGGTCCCGCCATGGCCTCGAGCCCGACGTACACGTGTTCAATTCTCTTGCGCTTCCCTCCCTCCTCAGCTACGGTGTTCTTGTCGAAGCGGCAGTGACAAAAGGTTGTTGCCGAGTCTCCCGACAGCGACACCGCGGCCCCTTGGGATCCCGGCTTAGTCACTCTGTTGTTCACGAACCACGAGCGGGTGAACTTTGCCCCCATGCGGTAAACCTCGACGGCGGAGGCGCCAGATTCCGCCAGGTTCCCCTCGAATCCGCACCTAACGCAGGTTAGGGTTGCCCTCTGCAGACTGATTACGGGTCCGCCGCGATTGGATTTGAAAAGAACGTCCGTCATCATGATCTTGTCGTACCTCCCCGTGGAGACTAGGATCCCCTTGTTGCCGACGAAGCTCGAGTTGGCTATGGTGACAGAGCTCACGACCGCCGTGGAAACAACCGCCCCCGCGTTGCTCGTCAGGTGGCAATTACTGATCTTGAAGTCGCAGCTTGGTCCGCCGGCAAGGATGGCGGAGCGGAAGCGCGTGAGCTCAAGATTGCGCAGAGAGACTTTGGGGGACATGCCGCCGAAGCCGCCGTAGCTGTTCTGACCGTCGATCTTGCACAATCTAGGCCGTCCGTTCTTCTTCTTGCACTCGCCCACGACCTCCAGATCGGGACACTTCACCTCACCTATGTCCGCCGTCAGGCGGATATCCTCCATCAGGCGGAACACGGTCTTATTCTCGCTAGCGACGGCGGCGCGGAGCCGGGACTCAGCGGAGAGAGCCGCCGGCGGCAGCGGCGCCGGCGCCGCTCTTGCCATGACGATGGTGAGTGCAGATCGTGGCCCCGATCTCGAGATCGATCCTGATCCATCCCCCTCAAGTAGAGTAACTATGGCTATGAACAGCAGCTGCAGCAGCAGCAGCAGCGAGGGGAAACTTCCCGCCATCTTCGGCGAAAGTTCTTTGCACACTTCAGATCGTTGTAGCTTGGCACAGCGCTTGCGGCGGAGTTGTTGCGCCCGACCGCTCCGATCCGTCCGGCGGCCCGCAGGTGGACTTCTTTGCCTGAATCTGGCGGTAATCCCGGCCAAGGGGGTGGGGAACAGCCCTCGCGAATGCACGCCTACGGCATACAGGTCCTTAAAAGAGAGAACGACGACATAGACACTAAGCTCCCCAGTGGTCAAGACGATCAGAAGCTATCGCAAAGACCAAGTCAGCTATGGCGATGGCAACGAGGACGAAGCAGAGGAGGAAGACGAGGAAGACGACGATGATGAGAGGGAGGAGAACGGCAGTTCCGAATGCCTTGTTGTAGATCCAGAAGGAGAAGGAGAACGAGAAGGAGAGCGAGGAGGAGGAGGAGGAGGAGGAGGAGGAGGAGGAGGAAGAACGTATACTGTACTTGCCTTGGCCCTTGAGTAACAAACGACGACGACTGATCAGCTGAAGGCCCTTGCTCCCCTTTTTATTCACAGGGCAATCCCAAAATCCCCCCCAAAAGGGGAAAAGGTCGGTCACACGGATCTACCAAATTCGCAAATGTACTATTCCAGTGTCCATTGGGAAGCCGCGGGGCAAGAGATTTTGCGGTCACCTCTGGAGGTGACCGCAAAATCCCCTCTTTTTTTTTTGTGCATTTTCTTCAAAATTTGACAAAAATTCGTTCACAAAAGTTTTTTTTTTTTTTTTTNTTTTTTTTTTTTTGTAGTGCAAAATTCAATAGGACGAGGCCGGGAACCTCACAATTCAACCCGGAGTTATCCTGGCAGCCTCGCCTCAGCCATTTTCGCTTACGAGCATAGCTCGACGAACCACCAGTTGCTCAAATTTCTCAGTCTGCTGCTGGAAAACGGGTCCAGCTTCCCTTCTCGAAACCTTACCAAAATCATCTTGAAGCTCCAAAGGAGGGAAAATCCTGAGCTAGCTCTGAACAAATATGACTTCTGCAGACTAAGACCTTCAGAACTACCACTCAAAATCTGAATTGTACCTGCAATTCACTTTCCCCTCTAATACCAACTCTCTTGTAGAACTTCCGAAGAATGTCCAAAAGAATTATGAAAGGTGGCTGAACCAGTACTCCACGCCGTCACGAACCTTTCAGCCTATAGTAGTTTGTGATTCGATCTCCAAAACTACCAGCTCTCTGAAACTGAAAGTACAACAGCTTGCGGAGCCCAAAAATCCTCCCACTCGCACCCAAGCGCTGTCTAAGAACCCAAGGGACAGCTATCACCAACCGTTATCAGTGGGGCCTATTGCGGCCATTCTGATGACTACACCTAATCCTACAGCAACCATTGAGCATACCCCAGTTTACCGTCCTCTGAAACAGCTGCAAAATAGTCCTTTTTTGCCCATGTCTTGGACATCCAGAGTGAGCCCTTGGACTTCCAATCAGTGAACACTACTAGTCTAATAGCTTGCTTAATCTGATTAAAGGTCTGCTGAGTGGGGATTGCTTCCCCTCGGAAGACCGTTGCATTCCTTGTGGTCAAGATCGCTTCAAAAATGATTCCTCTGCATATCAGGGCAAGGTACCATTGCCCTGCTGAGAAATTGCTGCGTGCAGTATGAAATCCACCCCCCATTCTGAAGAAGAAGCAGAGTATGCCAGTATGGCTTCCACTTGTCCTTCCACCATTCCCAGATCTCATCCAAGAGGGGGCAATAGAGCCATACATGGGCTGCATTTTCCCAGCCCCATTCACAAAAGTTCTTGCACAATTGGTGGATGGCGCCGTGTGACCAGCCAAGTACCAAATCCCCATTTAACGACCATTTCGTCAAACTGGACATTTTTTATTTTTTGAACGAAATTGAAACTGAGTTTTTTTACCGAAAACTGGTCAAAATTTGCTGTTCCTGAGGGTCCAGCGTTTTACAAACGCTGGACCCCCTGGCTGTACATCGACCTAGCTTGAGACCAGGTACCTCCAGGCAGTCCTTTGACCAGTTTTCGGCAAAAAAACTCAGTTTCAATTTCGTTCAAAAAATAAAAGATGTCCATTTTGACGAAATGGCAGTTATTTCTCCAGAGGGCCGCGACCTTGTCCCATCTGAAAAGGTACAGCAGTGTGACGTGAACCATGCCCAAACCTCAAATCGGCCCTTCCCAAATCCTCATATTTTCTACAACGATGCATCAGCAACAGTCTGCGTCAATGGATTCCACTCACCCACTTTCTCTTTGACGCGCTCCCTCAGGCAGGGGTGCCCACTTCGGGCCACTCGCCAAGGAACTCTACAACGACGCGTCAGCAACAGTCTGCATCAATGGATTCCACTCACCCACTTTCTCTTTGATGCGCTCCCTCAGGCAGGGGTGCCCACTCGCCTCACTCCTCTTCGCTCTGCAAATGGAAGTATTGCATAATGCCCTGCGTGCCACGCCAAACATTAAAGGGCTGGACTTGGGGGAAGGTCGGCAGCTGCTCACCGGTGCCATCGCTGACGATCTCCTGTTAGCTATAGAGGCAACACCGGAATCCACGAGGGCAGCAAAGACACTCCTGGACCAGTATGCCACACTTTCTGAGGCCAAGGTTAATTGGGAGAAATCCGTTTATTTTCTCCCAGGGAACTATGAACTCGAGGGCGCAGATTGGGGAATGAAAAGGATACCCCCAAACTTGTCCGAGCGCTACCTCGGACTGCAGGTATCATTGGGGGACGCACGCCCCAAACAAGACGCTCTGCTTCAAGCCAAGACACAAGCGGCGCTCCAGAAATGCAGAATGGCGGTGGGCCTATCGCTGGTGGGGAGAGCTATGCTGATCACAACCGTAGTTTTCTCCCAACTGTGGCACATTGCTGCCATCTGTCTCCTCTCTAAGCCAACAGTCAAGCAGCTAACGGGTGAAGCAGCACGTTACCTTTGGAAACCATTGGCACAAGCAGAACAGGGATTCATCACGAAGTGTTCCTGGACCAAGGTCTCCGCTTCCAAGCAGCAGGGCGGTCTTGGAATCGTGGACCCACGCACGCAGAATCCAGCCATGCTAGCCAAATGGTTGTCAAGAGCCGCTACACAGGCAGGCTGTCGCACATGGGTAGCTGTCCTGGAGTACATACTGCAGCAGGAACTGCATCTCTCCAGAACTCGGGACATCTGGAGCTGCATCTTCATGCTTTCTTACGCACGTAGGCAACTGCGCTCCCCATTGGCAAATGCCTGCTGGAAAGCGTGGAGAGCCTTGTTGCCACCAAACCACACGGACCCAGTCACTCGGGAGGAGGTCCTGAGGCAGAATCTTTTCGAGAATTCAGCACTGACAGATGGCGAAGGCGCATCCCTCCCAGCAACACAGGCCCCCGGGAGCTTTGGCTGGAGATGGACAGAAAAGGGCGTGGCCAGGGTGGAGGACCTCTGGAATGAGCAACAACAAGCATGGATTCCGGTGGAGGAGTTAAAGCGGAAGTTGGGAGGTCTCCAACGAGTGGAGGAAAGAAGACAGCTTGACAATGTGGTCCTAACCATCCCCCAACACTGGCAAGCACTACTCACCTCAACAGACCCAGTGGAGGGGGAATGGTACCGTAGCTCAGAAGATCAGGAGCCCCAATCAGCTTACCATGTACTCGAACAGTTGGATGACAGACTGTGGCGAGCACAGAAATGGTCAACCCCTTCGAGTCAGGCGGAACCCGCCATCCTCCAACTCGAGAGCGAAGTGCTGCTCGACAATCATCCGGGACTTCAACAAATCCGCGTCCAGACGGTCACTACAAGAGCAACCACAGCGCACATCCTGCTGCAACAAGGACGTCCATTGAGGGCTATGAGGATCGACCCGCTGGGCAGCTACTGGGAACCATGCCCGGGGCAGAGAAGATACCTGGCGCAATACTCTACAAACCTGGGTCGCATCCTTCTCAGCAAAGATCGGGACATCCCGGCAACAGTAGCAGCGAACCTCAACAGATGCAGGTCCCAGGACGCCCACATATCAGCAAGGGAGCTCTCCTCATTGTGGAAGCAAATTCCTGCACTACCATCGCAGAAACTTGCAGCACTTCTCTGGCTACTTTCGCATGGGGCAATTCCAAGTGCAGTTTGGCTGTTCGAGAGAGGCATGGAACTGGAGACAAAATGCAGACGATGCGGAAACAGACAGGAAGAAACCACCCAGCATCTATTCTGGTCATGTCCCGCATCCAAGAGAGTATGGAGATGGTGGCAAAACCACTGGCAATAATTCGTGGGCGACCTCCTGAGCTGGAACGAAGACTGGGCGTTATGCGGTCTTATCCCGGCAACATGGTTCAGACACATAGGCAGAGGATATGTCGCCCAGGCCGTCAGATCCATCATAATCTGGTTGATATGGGAAGACCGGAACAACAAATCCGCATATTTTGCGGATTTGGGGTCGCCGTGTGAGTATGCCCACAGAATGGGCAAAACGAGAGTGAACCTTCCCCTAGAGCTCGGAAACATACCCGGCCATAATTTTTGTCATTTGTGCATGTCGAGAGTAGTGGAGCGGGGCTCGAATACACACGAAACGAGAGGGCGCGTTAAAGTTTGCTACCACTGTGTATCTGAAAATTCTGCCATTCTGCTATGAGCCTGTTTCGCGTTAAAGTTTGCTACCACCATTCTCCCAGGAGTCCGACGGCTTTTCCTTCCCTAATTTATCGCGCCTCGCCGCACGCCGCACGGCACATGAACGAGTTTGCTTTTTTTTTTTTTTTTTTTTTTTCCCTCCCGGCACACTCACACTTGCACGTATATTGTGAATATGCCACCCGTCGCCTAATCTACTCACACGGCTTTCTCCAACTTGCGGGGGCTGGGAACCTCGTAGCAGCCACTGCCGGTAATTGGGCTGCTGCCGACCTGGG